GGTTTTGATTTGCATTTCTCTAATGACCAGTGATGATGTGCTTTTTTCCTATGTTTGTTGGATGCATAAACGTCTTCTTTTGAAAAGTGTCTGTTCATATCCTTTGCCCACTTTTTGATAGGATTATTTGTTTTTTCTTATAAATTTGTTTAAGTTCCTTGTAGATTCTGGATATTATCCCGTTGTCAGACGAATGGATTTCAGAAATTTTCTCCCATTCTATAGGTTTCCTGTTCACTCAGCCTCAAATCTCCTTAAACTGATAAGCAACTTCAGCAAAGTCTCAGGATACAAAATCAATGTGCAAAATCACAAGCCTGCCTATACCCCAATAATAGAAAAACAGAGAGCAATATTCTTTACTATTCCATGACTGAGATGAAAAAAGTGTAAATATATATACTAAAAGTTGTTGCTTACAGAGGGTGGAATTAGAAGTGCTTTATTCTGTTGTTTTTTTTTTTAAATACTTTTCCATTTTATGTAAATTTTATGCATTGAACATATAGTACTTCACAATCAGAAAAAGCAACATTTAAAACATGCGGCATTTAAAACCAATTTTATTTTAACATGCAATGTAGATTTTAGCTCTTTCATTGTGTTATGCAGTGCCAACTGTGGTTGACTAAGATAATAAGCACTAGGTACATTTAACAGTTCTCTAAAATTACACAGAAAGAGAGAATCTCAAATGGTCTTTTAAATCACCACAAGGGAATTTAAACAAAAGTGTAAGGTTTTGCCGATAATTAGTATAAGGTTTTATAGAGAAGATGGTTTATAGAATGAAGAAAGGAGTGAGCAAAAAAGAAAATATCTTAAAAATTTAACTTTAGTGTTCTTCTTGAAGTCTACATTCCAAGGATGGAGTGACTCCTATAAAGAAGCTTTTTATTGTGGGTTTTCTAAGTCAACTTAATTACATCTGTCACTTGTATCTCCAGCACTCACATTTGTACTCAATATTTAACTGATTATACCCAGGCATCATTTCTAGATGCATACTGGATATAATGTTGCTGTTCTCACTCTCAGTGCGTGATTCACAAGGAGATAAGAGCACTGTTGTCTGCATTTTGGGACCTATGTGGTTTATTCAACTATACATAATGCATAATCTGCCACTTGGTAGACAGATAAGGTGCACGCTGTTCTGGTTGCTGTTTTGAAATACAGTAATCACTAAAATTATTATTTTTGTTTTCTATGAAATTGGCATTTAAATATAGAAACGTTATGTGTATGCATACATAACACAAATACCATTAAAAAGATCCAATCATATTTATATATTTTTTTTCAAATTAGCTGATCAGGAGTTGTAATAACACATTGCTTTTAATTTTCAGTATATTTAACTGTAAGAGGTATTGATAAAGTTGAAATTCTGGTCGGGTGAGGTGGCTCACATCTGTAATCCCAGCAATTTGGGAGGCAGAGGTGGGCAGATCACAAGCTCAATTCACAGGCCAATATGGTGAAACCCCATCTCTACTAAAAATACAAATATTAGTTGGGTGTGGCAGCACATGCCTGTAATACCAGCTACTCAGAAGGCTGAGGCAGGAGAATCTCTTGAACCCAGGAGGTAGAGGTTACAGTGAACCAAGATCATGCCACTGCACTCCAGCCTGGGAGACAGAGTGAGAGACTCCAGCTCAAAACAAAACAAACAAAAAAAAGTGATATTTCAATTATAAGTAGTTAGGCTGATTTTGTTTTTAGTTGCTAGTTTAGTATAATAGTTGTCATTTTCAGGAGAAAATGGATATAAAATGAAATCTTTTTTCCTCCATTAAGGAATCCGACACTTGAAAAGATTGATTCTGTAAATAATTTAAATGGGGATATGAGGGATTAACTAAAGTATATAATTTTAAAGCCAAAAGGAAAAATACAGAAAGAGCAATAGAACCTCCAATTTTGGTTAGCAGTATATAGGTTGTATGAAAGGAAAAGTACTAACCAGGGGTTGAGTTGACTGGAATTCAGATGTGTCTTTTCCATTCCTTGCATGGCTGACCGTGGGCAAACTACCAAACCTTTTTGAGTTTCACTTTAAAACACGAAAAATCTAGTAATTAGACTGATCTTGCAAATCAAAAAGTCACTTTACCCCCATGCAATTTTCTTTTACAGTTTACCACCTACACAATTTTCTCTTACACTTTGAAAGATGATATGTCAGGTATTGTTACTTTTCCAGCTGAGGCATGGTACACATGTGGAGCAGGCTTGGAGTTCAGTTCGGAGCTTTAATTAGCAGATTTGCTAAATAACAGAGACAAACTCATGCAGTTATCCTCTCTTAGCTCATCACCCACTTTGGGAAGAGCGATGATAAAAATCTCTTTTCATGAAGAGAATTCAAGAGCTGAGTAGGATCAGTAATAACTACTGCTGGATTACCTGTCAGTGGCCTCTTCAGAGCACAACCCTGCTTCTTGGCTAGACTGAAACTAAATGAAATCAGTAATTTCTGACCTGACTTGTATGTCAGCAGTAGAAATTCATCAGAATCCTACTAACGTCTCTTTGCATTTGCCTATGTACATTGCCCTTCTGAAAGATGGCTTGATTTGGGAAAGTTTATAATTTGGTTCCCCCAAACTGAAATGACATTTGTTATGAATAGAGTGGCTTTCTTTCAGCTTAAATCTTCTCTTCATTTATTGTCAGCGATTGCATTCAGACAAACTAGTATAAGATGCTCATTTTAATAACTATATAATGAAAACTCAAGAAGCTGTAATTGAGAACCAGAAATGAGACTTTGCCAGCAACCTAGAAGCCTAACCCTCTTGTGCACTCCTCCCTAATCACAACTCCATCTCTTCCCGTTAGACTACTTTTATAATAAACATTTTTCTACCTTTCCTAGCATTTTACATTCTATGTTTAGATTCCTAAAAATAAATTTCCTTATTTTTGAACTTGCATAAACAGATTCATTAAAGAAAATTGTAGCTTTCCATTTTCTGCTTTTTATCTCAACATGATTTTAGGAATTTTATTCAAGATGTTGGATGATGCTATAGTTTGCTTGATTTGTTTTTTACTACGGAGTCCTCAAGAGAAAGAGTAGTTTTCATCCATTCTATTGTTGATGCACAGGTATGTTATTTAATTTTTAGCTATCAAAGAAGTCCTGCTATTAACATTGTTATCAGTGCTGTTCATTGTGGAGATTATTCTTTGACTCTTGTACTCTTTTGTATCTGTGTCTTAGGAATGGAATTGCTGGGTAAGACAATGCAAATGTATCTTGAGAGATCTAGACCATGAAGTCATTTGGGACTAGAGTTTTGGGAAAGATTTTGAATACCAGTTTAATTACTTTAATAATTATGGATAGGACTATGCAAGTTTGTGAGTTCTCTTAATATTTTTCTTAGAATTTGCCTTTTTATTTAAATTTTAAAATGCATGAGCATAAATTTACTCTTAAAATCCTCTTTTGCAGTATTTTGATAACTCTCCTATTTTCATTTGTGATACTAGGTTTTAAATCTTCTTTCTTGAGTTTTTTTTTTTTTTTCTCTCTTTCTATATATTGCTCCAGTGGTTTGTCAATTTTTTAAAAAAAACTCTAAAGATAAGTTTCTGGCTTGATCTTGATCCTTCCTGTTTTTATTTGTTTCTATTTTATTATTTTTTTGTTTGTTTTTGTTTGTTTTGGTGCTGTTATGCTGTTGATATTAAAATGGATGCCTGGTCTGTTAATCTACAACATTTTTTAAAAATGTTACTTTAAGTTCTAGGATACATGTGCAGAACTTGCATGCTTGTTACATAGGTATACATGTGCCATAGTGGCTTGCTGCACCTATCAACCCATCATCTAGGTTTTAAGCCCCACATGCATTAGGTGTTTGTCCTAATGTTCTCCCTCCCCTTGCCCCCCACCCACCAACAGGCCCCAGTGTGTGATATGTTCCCCTCCCTGGGTCCATGTGTTCTCATTTACAACATTTCTTTTTTATTGATATATACATTTAATCATGTGATGACTTTATAATATGTCAACTTGGCTAAATCGCCCATAATTACTTGTATGTTTCCAGTTAAAGTGTGTTATGAGAGGCTTGTGTACAATAATTAGATTGCACGGATGAAGCAACAGCTCATTTGGTATCTCATCTCCTGAGTTTTTGACCACTGACCTGCTGACTTAAACCTCTGGTGTAAGGCAACGTGGGGACCTGCAATTGCTCCACCTTCTTCTGTTACTCTTTTAGTATCTGTGACTCTGGAGTCAGGTGTATGTATTTAGTTCCATTGAAAAGAGCCTTGGCTTCTACAGAACGCTCAGACAACCAATGCCACAGACAGCAATAAGTGATATGAGTTTTAGTATTTTCTCCTGAGTTCTGGCTTTGCTTGTGAGTCCTAGCTTGTTTTTATTCTCCTCGACTCTTCATCCACCTTTCTTCTCAACTGTCTGCCCTGTGGATAATACGCTCCAACATCAGCTGTGTTACAGACATCTTAACCAGCTTCCAAAATTCTGTAAGGTTTATGCTTTGTAATAAATCTCTTAATATTAATATATGACACTTAGTGATTCATGTCTCTGGTTGAATCCTGATTGGTATAGAATTTATGCATTTTTCTCTAGGTTTTTCTGTGACCATCCCTTTTATATTTTATGTCTTGAAACACGATTGTAGCTCTTTCTTTAATTCATGAATTTTTATACATATATTTTGGATTTCCAAACATTTAAGATATTTCCTAATACTAAAAATATTTATCATTTTATAGCTGATTTTGTATTTAATTACATATTAAGAAAATACGCTCATTGCAACTTTTGAGAATTGTGAGTTTCTTTGCAGTTATATATGATGAATCTTTGCAAATGTTCTGTGTTTGAAAATGATATATACTCTCCAGTCATTTGGTAATTGTTTCCTAAATATAATAATTATGCCAAGAATTTATCATGTTAAAATTTTCCATATTCTTCTTCATTTTGTATCCTCCTGTTTTATCAGTTATCAGTTGTTGAGGTTATTGTTTTCATTTTTTTTATTTAGTTCTTTTTTTAAACAACCTTATTAAGGTATAATTGATACATAAAAAATATCTAATATGCACCATTAATGAGTTGGAACAAATAAAATACCCATGATACTGTCATATAATCAAGGTAATAGACTTATCCAAACCTCCCACAGTTTCCAGGTGTTCTCTATTTTTTTTCTCTTTTTTTTTTGTGTTAGGAAAACTTAACATGATTTACCTCAAAATCTGACTCCAATGTTGGAGTGCATGATTCCATATTGTTAATCATAGCCACTGTTTTGTACAGAGAATCTCTAGAACTTAGTCATCTAGCAAAACAGAAACTTTATACCAATTGAACAACTCCCCATTTTCCCCACCCCATAACTTGTAGCAACACTGTTGTAGTCTTTGCTTCTATTAATTTGACTATTTTAGATACTACATTTAAGTAAAATCATGTAACTGGTTTCTGTAACTGGCTTATATTGTTTAGCACAATATCTCCAGGTTCATCCATGTTGTTACAAATAGCAGAAGTTCCTTTTTCTAAGGATGAATAGTTTTCATTATATATATATATATATATATACACACACTTTTTTCTTTATTCATCTCTCAGTGGGCACTTGTGTTGTTGTAATATCTTGGCAATTGTGATTGATGCTGCAATCAACATGGGAGTGCCAATATCTCTTGAAAATCCTGACTTCAATTCCCTTGGGTATATACCCAAAAATAGGATTGGCGAATTATATGTAAAAGCTCTCCTTTTAATTTTTTGAGGAACTTTCGTTCTGTTTTTCATAACTTTTATGTCTTCTACCAAACAGCTTTTACGCTTCTACCAAGAATGTACAAGGGTTCCAATTTCCCCATATCTTCAGCACTTGTAATCTTTTATTTTTATTTTTTGCAACAGACATACTATATCTTTTTGTAGCTTTGACTTGTCTTTCTCTGATACTTAATAATTGAGCATCTTTTCATAGACATCTTGTCAATTTATGTGTCTGTTGGTGAAATATCTGTTCAAATCCTTTGGCTGTTTTTCAGTTGGGTTATTGTCTGTTTGAAATTGCAGTGGTCTCATATATTTTTAGAAATTAACTGCTTATCAGTTATACGATTTCCAAATATTTTCTCCCATTCTGCAAATTGACTTTTTTTTCTGTAGAATTTTTCCTTTGCTATGCAGATACTTTTTTGTTTTATGTATTCTCATGTCTATTTTTCCTTTTGCGGCCAACTTTTGGTATCAGATCCAAAAAAATCATTGCAAAGACCAATGTAAAAAAGTTTTCCCCTATGCTTTCTTCAAGGAGTTTCAGTATTTACATTTAAGTCTGTATTGTCTTTAAAGAAAAGATCTTGAAAGTATTTTAACATGGCTTGAAAAGCTCTAGTTATGACCAAACGTTTTAGAAATTAAGAAAACAATCCTATTTATAAAAGCATTAGCAAGATGCTTGTATCTATTTTTAAGCCTGCATTACCTCTGGCCTGCTCTCTAGTGTATCCTGACAAATAGTCTCCTTACTGCTTGAGTTCATGTAAACAACACAGCTTTTGAGAAGCCTTTCTTCATTGCCTCTACATGGAAAAAAATATTCCTCTCCAGATCTCTTGTAAGTTTGTAAGTCTCTTATATTGTGTTTAAAATCTCCTCTTATCTCTTTGGGTTGACAAGAAATTTCACCTCCATCACTAGTAGACACTGTCCTCTTGGGTTGTGCCTTCCCATCAAAAACCGGAGGACAACGCTTGGGGTCACTGCTTCTGAGACATCTGTTGTTTGAGTATTTATCAATCTCTCAGGTCTTAACAGTCAGTCCTCATGATTTTCTGCTCTCCTTGGGCCACCAGTGAGTTTGGCAAGGCTGAGAGGAGGAATTTCAATAAAAAGGCAAACTAGTAATACTCATAAATTTTAATTGTTCACTAACAATGGCACTAGTGATAATATTATATTAAAATATGAAGACTGTATAGTATAGGAAAAATCAATAAAACTGAATATGTTAAAATTAAAACCTATTAGAAATATCAGACAAAATATCAGTCTAGCAAAAATATAAATTTTAAATATATGCCTTAGTTCTGGCTGCTAAAACTAAGTATCATGGACTGCGTGTCTTATGAATAACAGAATTTTATTGCTCAGAATTTTGGAGGCTGGACATCTGAGATCATATTGCCAATGTTGTCAGGTTTTGGTGAAGACCTTCTCCAGGACTGCACTGACTTCTCACACGGCTGAGAGCTGGGGTGCTCTCTACAATCTCTTTTATAGGGGCAATAATCCCATGCATGAAGGCTCCACCCACACAAATTTAATTACCTCCTATTACCATTATATTAAGGGTTAGGATTTCAATACATGAATTTGGGTGGGGTGGCACAATCATTTAGTCCGTAACAAAATAATATCATAAGCTGATAAAATTAATATAATAAATGTTATCCAAAAAACAGTGCTTTATGAACTGAAGAAAATTTAATTCCCTGTGATTATTAAAAGTTATATAATGCAATGTAATGTCTTTGTAAAACTGGAATCCTCCAGAAAAGTGAATTGATGTGATAATTTCCAGCTGAGTACACTTCTATATTAGAGTTTCCACCTGTTGGAAAGGTATTTCCAACAGTGGGAAAAGGTATTAGTAGACATTTATAAACTAACTCCAAATATTTCCCCATGAGTTTCTCATTTTTAAATAATCATCAGAAGTACAATTAATAACACTGTAGACACTTTCCAACACCTACCCCACAATACAACGCAGTGTCAATTTGATACTATCATATTTATATTTAATTTGTTCAAGGGTCTTTGAAATATGGTAATAATTGTGTTTAAAGTAGAAGTTTTACAAAGATAGAATATAGTTACTTACTGAAATGTGTACAGGGGTAGATCTGTCTAAACTTGTAGACAGCACTTCATTGTGTCTTTTTTTGGCACATATTGTTGAACTACAGCACTGATTTTGTTATCAAGATATACATGACTAACATATCAAGTTCTTTTAAACACAGAAATAATAACATTGCATTAAGAAGTATCAGTATTTTCATACATAATACCTGGTATTCTGGCTGCTGCTTATAGATGCTGAGCATTAGCTTTAGGTGTCCCAGAGACCTCAACTATACATCCTCTCAGAGTTCTGGCTATCCTTCCAGGTCACAAACTCTAGACAGTGCTCAGGTTCCCAACCCTCAAACCCCTTTTTCTGTCTGATGAAATATCTTTTTTCTATATCCCTTCTTGCTGTGGGATTCCTGACATTGTGTCTTCAACGAAGTTAAGATTTCACGAAAATAAAATTTAGTTTTCTACATGCAAAAAGCCACAAAACACAAAAATTAAAATGGTCTAGTAATATGCTTGGAATGCAGGAAAGGAAAAAAATACGGTGAACAAAACATATGTTAATGTTTCAACAAGATAGCGAGCATAAAAGAAACAAACTTGTCATTCAGTTCAATATTGTATTCATTTTATTTTTTATTGAAATCTATATTGCTGTATGCATTAATGAATTTTTTATTTCAAAATATGTAGTCTAAATCAACTTTTAGTGTCAATATAGTGATTTTGGGGATAGCTATGAATATATTCTTACTCTCTATAAGTTTATATTTAGAAAGAAAATAAGTTAATGTAAATAAATTAATATAATTCTCTGAAAAATAAGTTAAACTATGTCACTATAATAATTTATTAAAGGCATATAAAAACCATACCAAAAATTTGTCTTTGTGTAAGTCATCACTCTTCTTATCTGTGAAGTAGGTCCTAAAGCTTTTCTCAGGAATAAAGCATTTTCTGTTTTTAATATTGTGAGAATATAACATCATCTTGGCAGAGGGTATGTTCTCAGTGAAACTATCCTAACAGATAGTTGAGTCAAGCAATGCCAACTCCCTCTCCCTATTTCTAAAGGATTTTGTGAACAAACTGTGTTTATTAAGAAACAGTTAAGGAATAGCTATTGGTTAAATGAGTACAAAAATGGATAAGTTTATGTCTAAACACATTAGTTTATAATTTTCCTTTTATGTGACCCAAAATTATCTTCACACTACGGCAACATAAACTGCCAATAATATTTTTCACTTTTGTTTATATCAGCATAGGAGACTTGAAGAGATCAAGTGATTTTCTTAAAGAGGCCTTGATTTATTGGCAGTACTGAGAACACAATCTAGGCTTTTCTGCCTTTATGTTTAGAGTTTTGCCACCAGGCAGTATGGTTTGCCAGTGGGTAGTGATGATCATGCTTCAAAGGGTTATAACCTTGCTACCATATCTGCATTATGAGTCTATCCTAACTCAGCTACTGCATCAATGATTGAAATTCTCACTACATGCATGGGTGAGCTTATAAATATACATGGTCAAGAGAAGTGGTAAACATCCTTGGTCTTTGGAATAAAAGAAGACTTAATCTTGACTCTTGATGTCAGTATTTACTGATTACTTAGACTACTCAATTCTATCTCAGAGTAATAATACCAAATTATTACAGAATAATTTTGAGCTTAAATATCATAAGTACATGAGAGGACCCTTAGCTTATAGTGAACACCCAATAAGGGTAATTTTATTGAAACACCTTAGTCTTATTTTCTAAATTCATCACCATGGCCCTCCTCTTTTAAGGTTTTCTCTTTATCACACAAGAGAAACCTAGAAGCACATTTGCTAACATTCTCTTCTCCACATATTTCTGGGGTCATCTGATCAAGAGTAGTGTCTAAATGCTGTTTGGATGGTGAAGCATTGACAATATTTCCTTAAACATTAATGACAAGCACAGATTTTCTTGGAAAAGAGGAAGTGCAGTTTACATGGGGAAACAATCTGTGTATTTAGGCGTGAGACAAAGGACGTGATAGGAATACCTGACTAAATCTTTCAGATTCTGCCAACCTGTCACATTGTGGGAATAACACTTTAAAATTGGGAGACACCATGTGATTGGTTCTGACCAATGACTTGTAAGCAGAAGTGACTTGTAGCATGTCAAGGCCAAGCATTTAAATCTCTGCCAAGACCAACAATTTATAAGCAGAAGTGACCTGCAGGATGTCAGGGCCAAAGGATTAAAAGTTCAGTGAGCTCTTTTTCCACTGTTTTGAAATGAATGGCAATGCTCAAAATATCAGCTCTTCTGATGCTTGCTTAGCCAATTGACTAGTGAGCCCTGCAGATTATCAATGGACATGGGCCACAGGCATGAGCAAGAAACAAACCTTAGCTGTTTGTGATAGACAAGATAATAAATATGCTTCCAATGATGTTCATGTCCTAATCCCTGGAACCTGTGAATATGTTGCTGTACATGGCCAAAAGGATTTTGCAGAGGTGATTAAGTGAAGAATCTTTAAATGGAATTATTCTCTTGAATTATCTGGGCAGGCCCAATGTAATCAGAGATTCTTTTTTTTCTTTTTGAGACAGTCTCTGTCTGTCTCCAGGCGCCAGGCTGGAGTGCAGGGGCGCGACCTTGGCTGGCTGCAACCTCCGCTTCCCAGGTTCAAGTAATTCTCCTGCCTCAGTCTCCCGAGCAGCTGGAACTACAGGCACAAGCCATCGCACCCAGCTAATTTTTGTATTTTTAGTAGAGACAGGGTTTCAACATGTTGGCCAGGATAGTCTCGATCTCTTGACCTAGTGGTCCGCCCGCCTTGGCCTCCAAAAGTGCTGGGATTACAGGAGTGAGCCACTGCACCCGCCCAGAGATTCTTAAAGTGTTTATTGAAGTGGGCGTCAGGCTGATGTGGTTGCTGGTTTTGAAGGTGTAGGAAGAGGCTAAGAATGCAGATGGTATCTAGAAACTTAAAAAGTCAAAGAAATATATTCTTCCCTTGAGCCTCCAGAAGGATTTTAACCCAGTGAAATCCATTTCATACTTTGGATATCCAGAACTCTAAGATAAATTTGTGTTGTTTTAAGCTATTAACGTAGTAACTTGTTAGAGTAGTAACAGAAAACTAAGAAAGTACACTGTTTTATGTCATTTGAGGTTTAAGGTAGTTTACTACAGCACCATGACCTGGTCTATCGTGACTGACAAAATCTGCCCTTATCTATATTTTAATGGTCAGCAGTAACATTAAGAAAACATACTCACAATTTCAATTGGTGGGTTTTCACCTAGCTTTTATTGGTTTCATTAGCTGTCCTATTCCTACTTTTGAATCAGGGTATAGATAAATTTTGGATATTATCATTAGTTATGCATTTTCTAGGACTTCATCTAAAATGTGAGAAAGTTTCTGTTTTTGAAGGGACCCATCATACCCTGTTGGTGGGGATATAAACTGATGCAGCCACTATGAGAAACAGAATGGAAGCTACTAAAAATTAAAAATAGATCTAATCTATAATCCATCAACCCTTCTTCTAGGCATCTGTCCTGAGGAATTGAAATTAGGCTCTCAAAGAGACATCTACATTCCCATGTTGATTGCATCGTTAATCACAATAGCAAAGACTTGGAAGCAACTTAAATGTCCATTAATGGATGACTGGATAAAGAAAATGTGATATATACTCTGAAAGAAAAATAAATCTTGGGACCCCAAAATCACTAAGCCAAAGAGAAAAGTCAAGCTGAGAACTGCTTAGGGCAAAACTGCCTCCCATTCTATTCCTAAAAAAGATAGCTATTAAGATAAAAAAAGCTACATAGCTCCTTCACAGGGAGTTTCCTTGTGGACAAAGGACAGACAGAACTCAAAGTCACCCCTCTGCTCATTGAGATAAATGCCTATATGACTGCCTCCTTCGAAAAGGCTAATCAGAAACTCCAAATAATACATACAACCATTTGTCTCTTAGCTACCTATCACCTGGAAGCCCCTCTCTGCTTCAAGTTGCCCCACATTTCCAGATGGGACCATTGTACATCTTACATATATTAATTGATGTCTCATTGTTTCCCCAGTACGTGTAAAACCAAGCTGTGTCTTAACTGTCTTGGGCACATGCCATCAGGGCCTCCTGAAGCTGTGTCATGGGGCGTGCCCTTCACTTTGGCAAAATAAACTTCCTAAATTGATTGAGACCTGTCTCAGATATTTCCGGTTCACCATGTATACCACAGTGAAATAGTATTCAATGCAATGAATATTATTGAATTACAGTAAAATCTTGTTCAGCTTTAAAAATGAAAAGAATCCTGCCATTTGCACCAACATGGATAAACCTGGAAGACATTGTGGTAAGTGAAATAAGCCAGACACGGAAGGATAAATATTACACAATACACTGAGAAAAGAAAAATGGCTCAGAGCAGTCTGAATTCTGTGAGGTGTGTTAAAATGTACCCAGTCCAGGGAGACACGAGTATGGCGCTTCAGTCATGTCCCCCATACTCACGCCCCAGGGACAGTTGTTTAAAGGCAATTGCCTCACTCATTATCTTCATGATAATGAGTCTTGTCTTCATGACAATGTATCTTTGTGATACAAAGAAAAATGTGTAATCAATCAATAACTTCTGTTATTTTAAAGTAAGTCCTTGGTAAGAAAAAGAAAAACGTAGGAATTGTCTCTCCTTTTTCTTTAAAAACCCATTCATAATCAGAGCACATATTCAGGACAACTTGAATCTATGCCCTCTGTTGCAGTTCTCAAACTTGACCCAAATAAACTCTCTACTTATATTGTTTGCATGAATTCTTCCCCTTTTAAAACTTACTTATGTGATTAATTTAAAATAATCAGACTCATAGAAGCAAAGAGTAGAATGAAGGTTGCCAAGGACTAGAGGGAAAGGGAAATGAAAAGGTATTAATTAAAGGGCACAAAGCTTTCACATACACAATAAATAAGTCCTAGAGATCTACCATAACACCTATCGTTGACAATACAGACTTGTATACTTAAAAATGTCCCAAGGCGGTAGATCTTATGCTAAATGTTCTTATCCCAAAAAATAAATAAAAAGGGTGTGAGGAAACTTTTGGAAGTGATGAATAGGTTTACAGCATAGATTGTGGTGAGGGTTTTATGAGTGATTATGTATCTCCAGACTCATCAAGTTGTACACATCAAATACATACAGCTTTTTGTATGTCAATTATACCTCAGTGAAATGGTTAAAAATGTTATTTTAGAATCTCAGCTTTGTTCTTGCTCTTTATTGGTTTGTGAAAGGTAACATAAATTTTTATGCCTCTAGATAAGATGAAAAGATATAACCCGTAGGTACTTTGCGGGAGATAAACAAACACAGCCGCTTTATTAACAAGTTTGTCTGGTAACCATAGATTCTTCCTTCAAGAAGATGAAAGTGGTAAACCTTCAGGGAAATTGTAATGTTGAGATCAGTGTACAATTTCACTCAAGAACTCTGGTACAAAATGTCACACATAAAAAGGGACTGGAAGCTGAGCTGTTGTGAAGTGCTGAAGATGAAGAAATACTTTCAGAATGTGTTTCTTATGTGAACTTCTGTATGGAATCCAGAAGGGAGTACATTGACGCCTGAGCTAGAAACAAAGAAAGAAAAAAATAAAAAAAAAACAAAAAGCACTATTTTCTGATGTTCAAGCATTTCTTTGTAAATAACACAAACTCAGAGCTGAATGTGAGACAAGCATATATATTTGAAAAAGATAGCCCTTAGACCTAGAATCAGATAAAGTAATGGATACCTTTTGTAATGTAAGAATCCGGGAGAAAATATTAAGGATGATGACTAAGCGGGCATGTATTCCAATTTCTTTCTTTTTTTTTTTTTTTTTTGAGATAGAGTTTCACTCTGCTGCCCAGACTAGAGTAGAGTGGCATGATCTTTGCTGTCTGCAGCCTCCGCCTTCATGGTTCAAGTGATTCTCCTGTCTCAGCCATCCAAGTAGCTGCGATTACAGGTGTGTGCTACCACACCCAGCTAATTTTTGTATTTTTAGTAAAGATGGGATTTTGCCATGTTACCCAAGCTAGTCTCAAACTCTTAAACTCAAGAGATCCACTCACCTTGGCCTCCCAAAGTGCTGGGATTACAGGGGTGAACCACGAAGCCTGTCCAAATTTTTATCTGACATCTTCATCAGTGTTTTTTCTCTTCTCTTTCTTTTACCTACACATGGCACACATACATTTCTAGGTGCACACATATGCACACACTTATACGTGCAAATATGTCAAATATGTAAACCCGTATTTGCATATTTGATTGTTTTTCCAGATATCCAGGAACACCTGTACTAAGTAATCTTCCCTGGAAGTGTGCAAGGAAGAGAAGAAAGAAAATTTCTCTCTAGTTGCCCTGAAATGCCCTACAGAAGTTCTCTTTATGAGGCTATTATCAAGGAGTGTTTCTAGGAATGGGGAAGATGCTCATTCTTTTCACCCCTCCCCTCAGTTCCCATAACAGGTAGAGAACTTCTCTGCACTGTCTGAACACATTTTCTGTCTGGCAGTTATGAAAGCTTGCTGTCCAGGTTGACATTCTACAGTCTCAGCACATCTGGTGGGTGGGAAATATCTTGATATCTTGTCAGTTAATATTTTATGCCAATGTACGTCTTACAAATGGGTGTCTTACTTCTAGCAGCATCTAGTTCTAGTATAATCTTACACATCCTTCTCTGTGTAGGAATATGTTCGGAAAAATACTGCAGTTCAAATTCTCCTTTAAACTACGATCTTTTCTGTTAACTTTCGACATTAACCCCATTTTGCACAAATTCACAAAATTGTCCACGTTCTGCATGCCAGACTCCTTTAGTTATTGATTTGTTGCCTATAAAATAATCTTAAACATATTGCTTTAGCAATCATTATAATAAAAAGTTATACTTTTTTGTTGCAGAAGGAACAGTTTACATGAGACCTACTCTATTAAATGTTTAAATGCACAATGTAGTATTGTTAACTATAGGAAGACTTCTATTTTAACACACAGACTGAAGCCTACATAGCTCAGCTACTCAAGCAAAACTGTCCTGGGGACTGTTTGGGAACAATGTAGATTAGATTTCCTCCTCTGTGTTCTTAAAAACCTTGGGCATATTTCTATTACTACAATATTCATATTCTTCATACTGGACTTTGATTATCTTTAAAACAAGTACATTATTTCAGCAACTCCAGGGATGTATTCATTAGCGTTTAGCAATCAGTTCTCCCCTGCCCAATAAAAGATGTATGCACATATATATTTACATAAGCTTCTTAAGAATTTTGCTAACATAAAGTTTGTGTAGCATACAATATGATATGCTACATACAATATATGCAATAAGACATAAACATGCAATACTCCTTATTTTAAATCCAGTGTAGTCAGTTGATACATAATGTTTCTGTTGATATTTTTTCCAAAATATTATATCCGCAGTCAACTTATCACTGCAACTAATGGCTGAGTATAGTTATAATGTGAATGTTAATTGGTACTTTTATTTATGCCAATGAGTCAGATTAAAGTGAAATGACAAACACAGAACATGTTTTTGGGACTTCATTTGTTCGCCACTGTATGAGTGACTCTTAAATTGCATAATAGTTCTTGAATACTGGAGTAATATTTACTCTTAATTATTGTCCTAATAATGGTATAACAGCTACAGACAGCACACTATCAAGTTAAATTTTCCTTATGAACATGTTCCCCATTATTATTATTATTATTATTATTTGGAGATGAAGTCCTGCTCTGTCACCCAGGCTGCAGTGCAGTGGTTCGATCTGGGCTCACTGCAACCTCCGCCTCCCAGGTTCAAGCGATTCTCCTGCCTCAGCCTCCGGAGTAGCTGGGATTACAGATGTCCACCTCTGTGCCCAGCTAATTTTTGTACTTTTCAGTAGTGACAGGGTTTCCTTGTGTTGGCCAGGCTGGTCTTGAATTCCTGACCTCATGATCTGCCTGCCTCAGCCTCCCAAAGTGCTGGGATTACAAATGTGAGCCACCGCACCTGGATCCATTATTTTCTAATGCCTTGACAGTTAACACAGCAGAAACCCAACCCCTGATTTGCAGCCTTTGCTGATATTTATGGTATAAATACTCTTGCCATGGTCTATTCCAAGGTACTAACATGACAATTCTGAGAACAGAGCTGTGGAAAAATTCAGAGCAACACATCTTTATATTGTGTGTCCATTGCACAGATGCAGTAGACATAAATAACAGCAAGAGCATAGATAATAGTAAAATGTAAAATAAGTAGAAAATAATGAGCTTTGAATATTTAGTATATTGAAAAAATAAAAAGTATTTAATTTTAAATTTATAAAATTTCATTTTTAAATAATATTTCTACTTAACAAGTAGCTCTGAAATTGCTTGGAAATTTAACAATCGGTTCTTGCGTGCTGATGTGTATTGATTCCAAGACAGCACTTACTGTTTCTCTGCCTTGTTTTTCCGGCATTTTGCATGTAGCAGGTGATCAGAAATATTTTTGTGGTGAAGAGCAAGTGGTAACTTTACCTCATATGTTACACCAATATTACGTTTTATACAACAGTGACTGTTAAAAGCAACGTTACATTCTCTACTCAAAAGGCTTCCGGAACAAGTCAATTTATTCTCTCTGACATGCTTTAAGCTTAGTGATATTTATAACAGAGTATTTCATCTATGACATTAGAGTTCTGTAAGAATAATTACAGAACAAACCTCATCAATCCCATACTAAATATTTTCTGTGCTTAAAGGACTGATATGTTTAGATCCTGTTTCATACATGCTGATAATACTTTAAACTGACGAAGTTTGTTTCAGTGTCTTTTTGCTGTTTCATGTACTTATTTTTCCCATTAATGATCCCTTCTTCTCTCAGCTCTCAGGCTCCTCGCAGGGGTTCCCTTCAGCTCTGCCTCCCAGGACACTTAACCTAAGGCATTGTTACTTTATTATTATTATTATTTTGAGAGAGGGTGTCCTCTGTCACCTAGGTTGGAATACAGTAGCATTATCCTAGGCTCACTGCAACCTCCACCTCTGGGTTCAAGCAGTCTTCCCACTTCAGCCCTCAGAGTAGCTGAGACTACAGGTGAGAGCCACCACACCAGACAACTTTTTTTTTTTTTTTGTATTTTTTGTAGAGATGGCATTTCGCTACATAGTCCAGGGTGGTCTCAAACTCGTGAACTCATAATCCGTCTGTCTCTGCCTCCCAAAGTGCTGGGATTACAGGTGTGAGCTACCGTAGCAGGCCCATTGTTACTATTATTACTGTTAAAATAATTATTTCTCCAACTTCACTTCAAAATTTAAATGTCAGGTTTGTCATTATGCCAGAACATACACCTTATTTTCAAATTAAATTTCACTGATCAGGTAATTAATAATAATAAATTAAATCCTAGCTACCGTATATCTTTCAACTGAAGACTTCTGGAACTAATAGCTAAGCCTAAGTGGGGAACAGTAGGGTTGGGGATTCCTGGGGCTGTGGCAGCCTTTGGAAGTAAAAGTTGAGTGCCTGGAGGCACTGTCATGCTCTGCTAACTCTACTCTTCAGCACTTCACAGGCCCATGTCCATTGAAGATTCATTAGAATATTGATGTGATGGCCCATTGCATTATGGGAAAGAGCCATAAAGAGACATGCTAAAGTAAAAAGCAACTTCAAGTCTTCCAAAATATTTTTTCTTGAAATTAGAAATTTAATAAGGTTAAATATGACAATGATTTCAAAACAAGAGCATAAAAGAACATACATATTTAATATATTATGCAGGAAATGAATCAGGTAGAAATTAAATTGTAGAAATTATACTAAATATTATAACAAGAAATAAGTTTTCAATGTTTAGGTTTATACAATGAGAAAGAGACATTTCAGAGGAACAAAGGTAAAAAGTACAATGGTTAAAAGTGTGTGGGTGGGAAAAAGTGTGTGTGTGTGTGTGTGTGTGTGTGTGTGTGTGTGTTTAAGAGCAAACAAGAGGTAGGAGAGAGAGAGATTCTGGATTTTAGCAGTGTATTTTGGCTTTATTGTGTATTTTCCTCAACTTCTCTCTTATTCTTTATCTCTTATTGCTCCCTCTTACCTTCTTGACCTCCGGAGCCTGCTTCATTTTGACACCTCTCAATTATTGAATTTACTTTCCTAGAGATTAAAAGGCCAAGAGTTTATCTGCTTCAGATGTAGAAACTTAAAACTAGCAATTTTAAATGAGTCAATTTAAACACAGACATAAATTATGGTAATTGCCTTTGGGGTGTGTGTGCGTGTGTCTGTGTGTGTGTGTGTGAAGGTGCACCAGTTTTAGTTTCAGATCTAAATTCACAATTTGACTCCTAACATTTTTTAGCCATCTAAAATTGAAGTGTCTTAAATTCTGAGAGTTTTGGTTTCCTTATTTTTAAAATAGAACCAATAATATCTAATCCAAAAGACTGTGGAGAATGTTAAATTAGGATCATGTATAATGTCCTTGACACATACTGTAAAGTCTTACTAATGGATTACTTTTGTCATTATCATACTTTTATTACTGTGAATATAAGAACAGCTGCAAGTATTTAATTGCAAGTAATTAACATATTTTTATTACTGTTAATAAACACAATCGCAAAGTGTAAAAGAGATATATCTAATCAAAGAGTCAATGAGCTACTCCCATTAGGTGTCATCTTTTTTTTTTTTTTAACACAGATTCTAGGAAACAAAGGTGTTGTAAGGTTTATTGCTGAGGTAAAATGAGGAAACTGAGGCAAGTATAAGAAAATGAGAAGCTAATTTATTCAGCTCCCGGGCGAGGTTCTGTGGTCCAGGAAGGAGCCAAAGAAGTTGCACCCGGCTGTTCAGGGCGTGGGGTTTTATGGGGAGGGAAGGCAATTGATTGGCTATTGGGGAAACAAAGTGAAGGCAATCTTATTGGCTGTAAGAAGCAGGAAATACCTGGAGCTAGTTGCCATGGGTAGGCCAGCGGGACCTTGGGTAAGTGGGCCTGCCGGGGGCTTACAGGGCAGACTGCTACTGGGCAGGGTTTGATGGGGCTTCTTTAAAAAATTTTTCTGCAGGGTTTTTCAACAGTGGGCTGGGGGTTGGATGCATAATTTAGTGCTGAATGTGGGCTTGGGTTTGGTATGTGGAGGCGGGTGCGGGGAAGCCATACGGTGAGGCCAGACAACGAGCTTGGGTGATGACGTAGTTATCAGGTGCGGAGAGAGTCTGTTTAACCCTCTGCGAGGCAGCCAGCCTTACAGGTGTCATCTTATAAAGTGAATGGTAAGCACTTGGACGGCCTTCAAGCTGAAGTTAAAGTGCCGTTTCTTAAATACCAAATCCACAGAAAGAGAGAAGATTGAACAACACTGGCAAATAATGCGAGAAAATGTACTTTTTCAAGTTGAAAATCTTTTCAGGCTCATAGTATTCTAAGGTTAGACATATTTCACTGGGATTTCAGTCCAGTGACATCTAGATAAACATGACTTTTTTTTGTCTCTTAATGATACAGGAATTAAGAAGAAATTACTTAGGCAGATAGTGAGGGTATGGAGGTCCTTGGTAAGTTTTTCTTTTAATGAAAAGCAGCCCCAGAGCATTTTCCTTTCTAAGGAAGAGCAGTCTGCAAAATCGAACTACAGACATAGATGCCAGCAGTCGCGCCAATCATGTTCAGGATGGCGGCTCCACATTCCCTTCTCTTTGTCAGCCATGGGTGCAAAAAGGATCAGACAAGGCGACCAAGGGGAAAGTTCATTTGCATAAGAAGATTAGGGTGGAGCCACCAACCTTCCCTGAGCACTGTGTAAACGTCATACCTGATTCAACCAATCTGTGAGCCCTATGTAAATCAGACACCGCCTCTTCAAACCTGACTATAAAATCCAGAGTATCTCTCAGAAGTCCTCTCTCTCTCACGAGAGAGAGAGAGCTGTTTTCCTTTCTCTTTCTTTTGTTTATTAAACCTCCTCTCCTGCATTTCTCACGTGTGTCTGTGTCCTGTATTTTCCTGGGGCAAGATGCGAACCTGGGTATTTACCCCAGACAGTGTAGCCTCTTCATAAAGACAAGATCTTGAAAGTTCTAAAAATGTTTCCAAATGTTAGCTGATTTGTCATGAACTAACGTTTTAGAAAAAACTCTCATGTCAGTGACTTAAGTTACAACAAATCTGAACCATACTGATGCAGTTTACCTTGAAATGCCTATGGGATTAGATACAGGCAGAGAGATAGGCAGTTTAAACATTTCCAAAAGCAATACACCAATTACTTGAGTTGCTAAACCAACAAACCAAATAACTTTGTTTTTTTTTTTTTGTCTGTGGTGTTGTCACATATTATAAGATGAAAATAGCTAACGTTTGCTTTGGGTAGTTTCATTGCATTTTGTATTTCTTTGTGTTATTAACTACAGAGACAAAGGAAAAATCAAATCAGGCAATCATTTTTTCTTATAAAGTTTAAATTATTTAGTTACAGCTGTAATGTTTGGCAATATAAAACAATTTGGGATTTGGGTTTGATTAAATTTTTTCTGACCGTGTTTTTTATAACTTGGTACTCTTTTGCCTTTTTCTAATATACAGTTGTGTTTTCACTGTTTTAAGAATAAGCTTACTTTGGCTCTTTTAAGAATCATATGTAGCTAAGAATAGAAAATTGAACCTACGAAAGTAAAATTAAAAAGACTAAAGTGATGTAGGCTTCCTTTCTTTTCAGCAGTCGATAGAAACAAATTTAGCTGCTGTTGAAAAGCAGTGGAAGCAATAATATGGGCTGGATGATTAAGCATGGAAGGTGAGAATGGAGAGAAAAAAAGCATGAATTCGTCTGTGGTCTGCAGGTCTGGATGGCTTGTGACCTTGAGGACATTTCCAATTGGGTTACAGCAGCAACTACCCGTCAAACACTACCACCCTAAGAACTACAGGAGTGATGGATTAGCTTCTCTCTTTTGACAGAGATGGAAACAAATCATTAACTGCCATATCAAATTCTTACAAATAGCCAAGGTAAAGAGCAATATGGTTTTTTTGAGACTGAGTAAAGCCTAACTAATCTAATTTGATTTTATTAAAGAATGACAAATTGAATAAATGAAGAAAAATAGTTGAAAGTGTTTCAATTAATACGAATTTTACTTTTGTTTAAAGGAGAAACACTATGATTTTCTTTAAGCCAACATTTTACGGTGAGGTGTCGGCTAGTTTACTATTTAAATTACAAAATCTTGAGTTGACGTATACCCTCTATCATCTTTAACTGGGCTAGAAATAGCCACCCTCATTTCATTCCCAGTTTATTTTAAAGCAGGACAAAAAGGCTAGTTTCTACCTATCACTGAAATTGAAAGACCCTTAAAGGACAGAAAATACTAAGTGAAAAAATGATTAAACTTTGACCCATTTGGTTCAAGATCTCATGCTGCAAATTATTTCAATACTCTAGCTTCACCATATACCAATAATTATGTCTTAATGCTCCCCAAAGCAAGTTTCTTTTTACTTCCTCTTTGAAACCCAAAACATGTTTAAAATCCTCTTTTGGGTCTGCATTTACTTTAAATCCTACTACTCTATTTTGTAACAGAACTGGTAGGGATCTCTTGAAAGTTTTGAAATGCACTCAAATGCAAAATTGAAAAATGAGTAGAATCCTATCTACAGCTCTTATTATTCTTTCTCATGTTACTCAATTTCATATTTTTCCCAATGATGGGAGTCAAGCATAAACCAAATGCTCAATTGATTAATTCGATATGTATTTATTGTGTACCTATGTACTAATATTTTTAGTCACTGTGCTAGCCTCTGAGTATGTGATCTTGAGCTAAATACATATGATCCCTGTCTTTATGCTGTGTGTATACTAGCTGAGAAGACGAATATGCAGAAACAGTTACCACAGTTGGAGAATCGTGCTTGAGTACTTAGCAAGAAGACTAAATTAGTATTCAGTCATGGACAGGCCAAAAGAAGATTTAGAGCAAGCTTACTGTTGGAAATACATATAAAACTGAAACCTAAAGGATACATAGATGTAACACAGTGTATTGGAGGAAACAGCATGGGAGAAGCAGTGGCACTATTGGGATCTGAGAAAAAAAAAAAAAAGCCAGGCGCGGTGGCTCACGCCTGTAATCCCAGCACTTTGGGAGGCTGAGGTGGGTGGATCACGTGGTCAAGAGATCGAGACCATCCTGGTCAACATGGTGAAACCCCATCTCTACTAAAAATACAAAAAATTAGCTGGGCATGGTGGCGCGTGCCTGTAATCCCAGCTACTCAGGAGGCTGAGGCAGGAGAATTGCCTGAACCCAGGAGGCGGAGGTTGCGGTGACCCAAGATCGCGCCATTGCACTCCAGCCTGGGTAACAAGAGCGAAACTCTGCCTCAAAAAAACAAACAAACAAACAAAAAAAACAAAAGAAAAGCAAAGATTAATTCAGGAACTGGAAAAAAAAATCAGTCTCTGGAACTTTGGTGTGATAACAGGAAAGGTAAAATCAAGACTGGAGAGACAAGTGATGAAAAGTCTGGTATGTCACTCTAAGAAATGAGACTTTCTACAAATGCCAATAGGAAGTTACTAAAAAGATTCCAAGCAGGGGACTCACATGATCATAATTGCATTATGTCAATGGGGATATTAAAATGATAATTTTATGTTTCTGTTTTTGCTAAAGCCTCAAGAAAATAAGTACCAAATTCTCTGAGGGGTAGATTGCTCCAGGAAGATTTGCAGAGGGTATCTCCAACAATGGATTTTGCAAGTCTTAGCGGACTATCTACCTACAGATTACCGAAGAGGGTGGAAGGAATTCCACAATTTATGTGGAAGGAATCAGTGTGCCATGAAATGTACCACCTCTCTCTTAGAGAGAGTTGGAGTTTTAGATAACTGAATATGTGTTCCCTAGAGTTTGGGGAGCAAAGACTGGAGAAAAAGAAAAGAATGTGACTGCAGTAGCTTGCAACAGCAAAATATAAGCTGTGGTTTGTGATTTGGGTATAACAGTTTGATACACACATTTCCCATTAATTTGATGATGGAGAAAGAGAGCAACAGAGAGAGAGAGAGAAGGTGAGCGTGGGCATGTTAGAGATCAACCAATCAAGTAACTTTGAAGTCATCTTTCCTAAAGAGATTTTATCCAGGGTGATGCCCACACAGGGACTACTGGAAAGCCAAGACAGAGGTGGCAGATGTAAGTGGCCTGCAGAGAGGACATCATCTGTTGCAAGGAAGTGGAACTCAAAGGTGGCCTATATGGGCAAATCCCACTGTTAGTGGTAAACCCCTTCCACAGCCACAGAAATGGAAGTGTGAATGTGCATGTAAAACCTAATATTCATTGAGCACCAGTCAAGAGAGCTTTTCTGTACCCTTGTCCTTTGGTCTACACAGTCCCATCCTAGAGATGTCAGAAACCACATAGCTAGCAGGGAGAAAAGCAGGCAAAGTCCTTTTCCCACTGCAGGCTTCTCAGATGTAACACATAACACTGTCAGAGGGGAAATATGTTTAAACTTCACAGCCTTTCTTATTTTTCTGGGAATGTTTTTCCAGCTGTTTATGTCCTCTCTTATTTCTTTCAGCAGTGGTTTATAGTCTGGAATGGGCATGTTATTAATAATTACTAACTCACTGGGGCCATCTAAGGTGACAGGACAGGGGGTGGAAGATCAAGCTCCACAGAGCAGATTTGTAAGTGAAACAGGGAAAAAACCGAGTTGCTTCATTCTTACATCTTGAGTGTGCTTTGCTTTCCGTGCATTGGTTCTACTTAGAAGGGTGTCTCCGACTGCTGTGTGAAAATGATGTTAGTCTTACATGTTTTGATGCTCCATTGTCAGAGGTATACCAATTAAGGAATGTTATGTCTTCCTAGAGAATTGACCCCATTATTGTGATGCTATGCCTCTATTTACCCAGATAAATGTATTGTTCTAAAGTCAGCTTTGTCTGTAATTTATATAGCTACTCTTTCTTTTGATGAGTGTTAGGATGATAGATCCTTCTTCCTCTTTTTATTTTTTTCCCATTTAAATGCACTGTTTATATTTTTATCTTTTACATTGATTTATTATACTTTAGGTTCTGGGGTACATGTGCAGATCATGCAGTTTGGTTACATAGGTGTACACATGTCATGGTTGTGGTTTGCTGCATCCAGCGCCCCATTATCTATATTAGGTATTTCTCCTAATGCTATCCCTCCCCTATTCTTTCCCTAGACCCCCACCCTTCCAGGCCCTGGTATATGATGTTCCCCTCCCTGTGTCCATATGTTCTCATTGTTCAACACCCACTTATGAATGAGAACACGCTGTGTTTGGTTTTCCGTTCTTGTGTCAGTTTGCTGAGAATGATGGTTTCCAGCCTCATCCATGTCCCTGCAAAGAACATGAACTCATCCTTTCTTTATGGCTGCATAGTATTCCATGGTGTATATGTGCCACATTTTCTTTATCCAGTCTATCACTGATGGGCATTTAGGTTGGTTCTTTGCTATTGTGAACAGTGCAGCAATAAACATACATGTGCATGTGTTTTTATAATAGAATGATTTTTAATCCTTTGGGTATATACCTAGTAATGGAATTGCTGGGTCAAATGGTATTTCTGTTTCTAGATCCTTGAGGATTCGCCACACTGTCTTCCACAATGGTTGAATTAATTTACACTCCCACCAACAGTGTAAAAGCCTTCTTATTTCTCCACATCCTCTTTAGCATCTGTTGTCTCCTGATTTTTTTAATGATCACCATTCTAACTGGTGAGAGGTGGTATCTCAATGTGGTTTTGATTTGCATTTCTCTAATGACCCATGATGATGAGCTTTTTATCATATGTTTGTTTGCTGCATACATGTATTCTGTTGAAAAGTGTCTGTTCATATCCTTTGTCCACTTTTTGATGGGGTTGTTTTTTTTTCTTGTAAATTTGTTTAAGTTCTCCGTAGATTCTGGATATTAGCCCTTTGTCAGATGGGTGATTACAAAATCTTTTTCCCTTTCTGTTGGTTGCCAGTTCACTCTATTGATACTTCCTTTTGCTGTGCAGAAGCTCTTAAGTTTAATTAGATCCCATTTGTCTATTTTGGCTTTTGTTGCCATTGCTTATGGTGTTTTAGTCATGAAGTCCTTGCGTATGCCTATATCTTGAATGGTATTGCCTAGGTTTTCTTCTAGAGTTTTTATGTTATTAGCTTCATGTTTAAATCTTTAATCCATATAGAGTCAGTTTTTGTATAATGGGTAAGGAAGGGATCCAGTTTCAACTTTCTGCACATGGCTAGCCAGTTTTCCCAACACCATTTATTAAACAGGAAATTATTTCACTATTGCTCATTTTTGTCAAAGATCGGATGGTTTGTCAAACATCAGATGGTTGTAGTTGTATGGAATTCCTTCTGAAGTCTTTGCTCTGTTCCACTCTGTTTTGGCACCAGTATCATGCTGTTTTGATTACAGTAGCCATGAAATATAGACTCAAGGCAGGTAGTGTGATGCCTCCAGCTTTTTTTATTTGCTTAGGATTATCTTGGCTATGTGGGCTCTTTTTTGGTTCCATATGAAGGTTAAAGTGGTTTTATTCTGTGAAGAAAGTCATTGGTAGCTTGATGGGGATAGTATTGAAGCTATAAATTACTTTCGGCATTATGGCCATTTTCATGATGCTGATTCGTCTATCCACGATCATGGAATGTTTTTCCCTCTGCTTGTGTCCTCTCTTATTTCATTGAGCAGTGGTTTTGTAGTTCTCCTTGAAGAGGTCCTTCACATCCCTTGTTAGTTGTATTCCTAGGTATTTTATTCTCTTTGTAGCAATTGTGAATGAGCGTTCACTCATGATTTGGCTCTCTGTCCATTATTGGTGTACAGAAATGCTTGTGATTTTTGCACATTAATTTTGTATCCTGAGACTTTGCTGAAACTGCTCATAAGCTTAAGGAGATTTTGGGCTGAGGCGATAGGGTTTTCTAAATATACAATCATATAATCTGAAAACAGGGACAATTTGATGTTCTCTCTTCCTTTTCAAATACCCTTTATTTATTTCTCTTGCTTGATGGCCCTGGCTAGAACATCCAATAATATGCTGAATAGGAGTGGTGAGAGAGGGCATCCTTTTCTTGTGCTAGTTTTCAAAGGGAACGCTTCCAGTTTTTGCCCATTAAGTATGCTTTAGGCTGTGGGTTCGTCAAAAATAGCTCTTATTATTTTGAGATACAATCCATCAATACCTAGTTTCTTGAGAGGTTTTAGCATAAAGGGCTGTTGAATTTTGTTGAAGGCCTTCTCTGCATCTATTGAGATAATCCTGTGGTTTTTGTCTTTGGTTCTGTTTATGTGATGGATTATGTTTATAGATTTGCGTATGTTGAACCAGCCTTGCATCCCTGGGATGAAGCCGCCTTGATCATGATGAATAAGCTTTTTGATGTGCTGTTGGATTTGGTTTGCCAGTATTTTATTAAAGATTTTTGCATTGATGTTCATCATGGATATTGGCCTGAAATTTTCTTTTTTAGTTGCATCTCTGCCAGGTTTTGGTATTGGGATGATGTGATGTTGGTCTCATAAAATGAGTTAGGGAGGATTCCCTCTTTTTGTATTGTTTGGGATAGTTTCAGAAGGAATGGTGCACTGTTTTTAAAAGCAGTTTTAGAGTCACAGCAAAACTGAGCAGAAAGTACAGAGAATTTTCAAATATTCTCTCTCCCTCTATCAATGTCCTATGTCAAAGTGGTACACTTGTTACCAATGATAACACATCATTATCATCCAATGTTTATAATTTCTGTTAGAGTTCACTCTTGGTGTTACACATTCTTGGTGTTACACATTTGACAAATGTATAAGGGTGTGCACCCACCGTTATGATACCACTCAGAATAGTTTCACTGCTTTGGAAAGCTTCTGTGCTGGAAACTATGAAGACAGTAAAAAGATTAGCTGGTGACCAGTGTAGAGGAAAGGAAGTCATGAATAGGCTACATAGAGGCCTTTTCCAGAATATCCTGTGATTAAAATCATGTGGTATGTCGTCTTTTCAAATGGGCTTTTTTCATTTAGTAATATGTATTTCAGTTTCTTCCATGTCTCTTCATGGCTTGATAGCTCACATCTTTTTACCAGTGAATAAATCCCATTATCTGGATGTACCATAGTTTATCCATTCACATACCAGAGGACATTTTGGTTGCTTCCAAGTTTTGACAATTTTGAGTAAAGCTGCCATAAACATTAGTACGCATGTTTTGTGTGGACTTAAGTTTTCGACTCATTTAGGTAAACACTAAGGAGCATGATTGCTAGATCATATGACAAAAATGTATTTAGTTTTGTTAGAAACTGCCAAACTGCCTTTCAAAGTGTCTGCTTGGCATACCTACCAGCAATGGATGAAAATTTCTGTTACTCCACATCCTTGCCAGAATTTGGTGTTGTCAGTGTTCTGAATTTTGGTCATTCTAACAGTGGTATCTCATTGTAGTGGAGTAGTGTAGTGGTATCTCATTGTTGTTTTAATTTACAGTTTCCTAGTGATACGATGTGGATTATCTCTTCGTATTCTTATTTACCATCTGTATATTTCCATTGATAAAGTGTCTGTTCAGATCTTTTATCCATTTTATATCAAGTTATTTTTTTATTGTCCACTTCTAAGATATATTTTGTATATTCTGGATAGTAGTCCTTGACCAGACATGATTTTGGAAATATTTGCTCCCATTCTGTGGCCTGTACTCTTATTTTCTTGACAGTTTTTCACAGAGCACACATTTTTAATTTTAATGCACTTCAGCTTATTATTTCTTTGATGTATTATGCCATTGATGCCATTCCTAAAAGGTAATCACCACACTCCATGTCATATAGGTTTTCTTCTGTATTAAATTATAAGAATTTTATGCTTTTGCGTCTTACATTTAGGTGTGTGATTCATTTTGAGTTATTTTTGTAAACGATGTGAAGTCTAATTAGACACATGTTTATCCATGTGGGGATTTAGTTGTTTCAGTACCATTTGTTGAAGAGACTATCTTTTCTCTATTTATTGCTTTTTGACCCTTTGTCAAAGGTCAGTTGACTATATTTATGTTGTTCTATTTCCTGGCTCATTAGTCTTTTACATTGATGTATTTGTCCATTATTTTCACTAATATCACAAAGTATTGACTACCGTACCTTTATAGCGTGTTTTGATGTTGGGTAGTATTAGTCCTTAAACTTTGTTCTTTTCCTTCATTATTGTGTTGGCTATTCTGGACTTTTCCATCTCCATATAAACTTTAGAATCAGTTTGCCAACATCTACAAAATAATTTGCTGCAATTTAAATTGGAATTGCACTGAATCTATAAAACAAGTTGGGAAGAACTGGCATCTTGAAAATGTTGAATCTTTTTATCCATGAACATGGACTTTTTCTCAACTGTGGCTTGATTTTTTTCACCCTAATAATTTCGGTCTTTTCACTGATGTATTTGGACCATTCTTATTTAAAGTGATATTGATATTATTGGTTTCATCTCCATTATATTTGTAAGCATTTTCTATTTGTTGCACCTACACATTTTTCTTTGTTTAATCCTTCTTTTTTCTGACCTCACTGGTTTTAATTGAGTATTATATTCAATTCCATTTTGCCTCTGCTATTATATGAATTATATTACTTTTTAATATTCTTAGCAGTTGTTCTGGAGGTTGCAATATACAGTTAAAATTATTTTAAGCCTGTCTTCAAAGAACACTATATGACTTCACAGTAGTGTGGATATCTTAAACTATTCCGAATTCTTTCCTATCATCTCTAATTATATTGCCATTATTATATGTATAATTACTCATTGTTACTATTATTACTAGTAACAAAGTAGTTATCATTTAGGTCAATAAAGAATAGGGAATATAGGCTGGGGGCGGTGGCTTATGCCTGTAATCCCAGCACTTTGGGAGCCCAAGGCAGGCAGATCATGAGGCCAAGAGATAGAGACCATCCTGGACAACATGGTGAAACCCTATCTCTACTAAAAGTACAAAAAATTATCCGGGCATAGTGGTGCGTGCCTGTAGCCCCAGCTACTGGGGAGGCTGAGGCAGGAGAATTGCTTGAAACTGGAAAATGGAAATTGCAGTGAGCCGGGATCACGCCACTGTACTCCAGCCTGATGATAGAGTAAGACTGTGTCTCAAACAAACAAACAAACAAACAAAAAACAAGAATATGAAAGATTCATCTGTTTCTCCTCTCCTCTAACATTCTTCTTTTCTTCTCACTCTGAATTCCTGACCTACATCATTTTTATTCTCTCTGAAGATTTTCTTTTAACATTTTGGTATTTATCTTCCTTGGTGCTCTCTTAGCTTTTTGAATCGGTGGTTTGGTGTTTTTCACTAATTTTCTAAAATTATCAGCATTATTTCTCCAAAATTTCTTCTGCTCAGTTCTCTTTTTTCCCTTTCAGTATTCCAATTATGTGTACAATACAAATTTAGAATTGTCTCTCAGTTCTTAGACGCTCTGCTTGTTTTGTTCATTCCTTTGGTCTGTTTTCATTTCCGTTTCTATTGCCATATTTTCAAGCTTATTGATTATTTCCTTAGCCATCTTCAACCTACTGATGAGCATATCAAA